TAGCTCTTCTGCATTGTTCGGTCTCATGTCTCTCATCTTTCTCTTGGCATTGCCCCATAGATTCTCTATGGGGTTCAGTTCAGGCGAGTTTGCTGGCCAATCAAGCACTGTAATCCCACGGTCATTGAACCAGGTTTTGGTGCTTTTGGCAGTGTGGGCAGGTGCCAAGTCCTGCTGGAAAATGAAGTCAGCATCCCCATAAAGCTCATCTGTGGAAGGAAGCATGAAGTGCTCCAAAATCTCCTGGTAGACGGCTGCGTTGACCCTGGATTTAATGAAGTACAGTGGACCAACACCAGCATGGCTCCCCAAATCAACACAGACTGTGGAAACTTCACACTGGACTTCAAGCACCTTGCAGCGTGTGCCTCTCCATTCTTCCTCCATACTCTGGGTCCTTGGTTTCCAAATGAGATGCAAAAGTTGCTCTCATCAGAAAAGAGGACTTTGGACCACTGAGCAACAGACCAGGTCTGTTTTTCTTTAGCCCAGGTAAGACACTTCTGACATTGTTTGTTGTTCTGGAGCGGCTTGACAAGAGGAATACAACATTTGAAGCCCTTGTTCAGGATCCATCTGTGTGTGGTGGCTCTTGATGCACTGACTCCAGCCTCAGTCCACTCCTTGTGAAAGTCCCCAACACTTTTGAATGGCCTTTTCCTGACAATCCTCTCCAGGCTGCGGTCATCCCTGCTGCTTGTGCACCTTTTGTCTTCCACACTTTTCCCTTCCACATAACTTTCTATTAATGTGCTTTGATACAGCACTTTGGGAACATCCAACCTCTTTTGCAATTACCTTTTGAAGCTTTCCCTCCTTATGGAGGGTGTCAATGATGGTCTTCTGCACAACTGTCAGGTCAGCAGTCTTTCCCATGATTGTGATTCCTACTGAACCAGACTGAGAGAAAATGTAAAGGCTCAGGAACCCTTTGCAGGTGTTATGGCTTAATTAGCTGATTAGAGTGGGACACTTTGAGCCTAGAATATTGCACCTTTTCAAAATATTCTAATTTTCTGAGATTGTGGATTTGGGGTTTTCATGAGCTGTAAGCCATAATCATCACAATTATGACAAATCACGGCTTGAACTATCTTGCTTTGCATTTAATGAGTCTATCTCATATATTAGTTTTACCTTTTAAGTTGCATTACTGAAATAAATTAATATAAATAAATTAATTTTTAGTTTCACTGTATAAATATATATATAAATATATTTTGAAATATATTGAATATGGCCAAAATTGTAGTATTTCAAATATATGGCAATATATTTGGGAGGAATATTTTTAAAATATATTTCAAATATATTTTTCTTCCATAAGGGTAGTGCACTTTTATTTTTAATCCATACGTAACCAAGGTAAATTGTGTGTTTTTAAACAAGCTTTTAATTTCACATTAAAATTATTCTGTTGTGATTTTTGGATTTTGCTCCATGATAGCAGTAGGTGACCCATTTTACATATATTTACTGAGACATAAGATATTAACATGCTAATTGAAAGGTGAAAGCTAAATATTCAGGATGATCAACAGCAAATAACAGCAGCTGTTTCTCTTCCCTAAAATGTTCAGCAATTAAATCCTATTATTTACAGTTGCTATGGTGACTAGAGCTATAGTATCTCTTGGATAACATGGCACCATTACCTTGTATGAACTTTTTACGCTTCCTTTTTTTGAACACTGCAATCACACATACCAATGAATGACACTCCCGGGTGGCCCAACCCTTACATTAAATGAACATAACCATATTTCCTGCAATACTAGTTTGATCTGTACTCATTATTGTAAACAGAAAATGTTTATATGGATTCTCAGTTATACACGACAGAAATTTGTCTTCTGGCTTCACAGAGAGAGAAAATAAAATATCATCGCTAAAAATAATTTACCAAATAAACACAGAGGGTATTTAGGCCACAAAGGATGTACTGTTTGCTGTCTGGTAGAAGAGCATCTGGAATACAGCTTGTCTGAGGTTTGCAGAATACTGAGCCAGAAAATAGGACAGTTAGGGTTCATTTAGACATGCAAAAATTTTGAGCAATTTTATTATCATCTTAGACAGTAATGCTTGCTAAACACATATGAACATATACCCCATTGAACAGCACCAAGGTACCATTGTCCCCACCATAGTTATTTATAAAACAAACAAAATGTATCTTGGTCTTTTTAGGTAGCAAAAGAATGAACAAATGAAGTTAAAAATGTATTATTATATTATATAAATTATGATATATTATTATGATATATTAATATTATTATTATTGATTTAATAAAATCAGAATCACAACATTAAAATCTTGCAACATATTAATAGTGATTAATTTTAGCTTTCAGGTAGATACCATGACATGTTTCGCCTCTTATGGCTTCCTCAGCAAGATTTATTCACTACATGAAGCATATACATTCATCCTGAATCTCATCAGGTGTTCACAAATGACCACATACTATCTTGTGTAAAACCACTTGCCCTCCAGAGGATTTACCCCGCTTCCTGACCAGGCCATTTTTTGCATTACGGCGCTGCATTACTTTAACTGACAATTGCGCGGTCATGCAACGTTGCACCCAAATGAAATGTACGTACTTTTTTTCCCACAAATAGAGATTTCTTTTGGTGGTATTTGATTGACTGTGCATGATTAATTTATTGTGCTATAAAAAAAGACTGACAATTTTGAGAAAAAAACTATATTTTTGACTTTTTGCTATTAAACATATCCAGTAAAAAAAATGAAAAAATACATTTTGTCATAAATTTAGGCCAAAATGTATTCTGCTACATATCTTTGCTAAAACAATTCCCAAAACGTGTAAATTAATTGGTTTACATGAAAGTTATAGCATTTACAAATGGCAGTACATATAGTGGGATTTTTTTTTTTTACTAGTAATGGCGGCGAACAGCGTCTCATAGCTGTACTGTGGCAGGCATTCTGACACTGGGGGGAACTGACTTGGTGTCATTGACATCCCAGTGATACCAATACAGTGATCAGTGCTAATATAAAGCACTGACATTGTACTAATGGCACTGGGCAGGAAGGGGTTAAAATATGCGTCAATCAAAGGGTTAACTGTGTGCTGTTTTACTATGGGGGCTGTGTGTCTGTTTCACTGTAAGCACACTGCATAGCAGAGCCATACAAAGCAGTGTGCAGGAGCTGACAAGGGAGAGATCTGTATTGTTTGCATACAGGTCTCTCCCCATCATAAATCCTCAGAGATTGCTAGGTGCTGGAGGGGAATCACTGCCTGGTACCCGGTGATTGACAGCCGAGGCCACGAATGGAGGCCTACCAGGAACTACAAAATCACGTATATATACGTGATTTTGCGCATCCGTGCCACCCTGTAGCAGTATTTCTTCTATAGGGTGGTGTGGAACTGATTAAAGAGTTACTAAACCCACAACAGTAAAATCAGTCTCTATATGCAGTAAAGTATGCTTGTTATACTCACTGTGGAACCTAAGGGGTTAATCCTCTGCATTGTGTAAACACACTGTTTGATCTGTCTTCTCTGATCCACTCCTTCTTCTGGTGTCCCCCTCTTATCTCCTGATAAGACATATCGCGTGGAGTCACTCTGCACATGCTCAGTTTGGTGTGTATTGCTAGTGAGGTTTTTGTTTTTCTTGGGAGAGTGCATATGATCAGCACAGGGCTAATCAGCACTGAGGTCAGGGGTCCTGCATCCTCCTAGAGCAAAATGAAAACTTTAACCAGTGCTCGGCTGGACACTGATAGAAGTCACAAGACTACTCTAACTACTGATAAGAAAAGGTATTTAGCAGTTTATATTTACTAAAATAATTGCATTTCTATGTTCTTTTTGCTGTGGGAGACCAGATATAGTGAATGCAGGGTCGTGGGTTTAGTAACACTTTCATACAAAAAATTAAATACGATGGAAAAATCCCAAGTTGTACCAAAATTCTTAGGGTAGTAAGTCCAAGTGGTGTATCAGAGCACCTCAGGAGAGCCACTGGGAATTGTCCACCAAAGTTTAAATTAAACGTTCTTCGGTGTGGCCACCAGTAGGTCCCCACGGTCAGATAAGCTCCGTGGGCTTCTTATAAGTTGGAAGAACTAGGGCATTCCTCTTGGCCTTTCTAAACACATCTCAAACACACTGTAAATGCCATAAGGACATTTGTGATGCCTTTGCAGTGCGTTTGCAGCACGTTTACATTGACATCACTGGAAGCATTTGGATAGCAGAAAAGCCTGGCAGACAACACATGCCAGGTCGAATTTGACACAACATTAATCAACCATGTGAACATCACTGGGAACTGCAATGCACACAATTTTGACAGGCATTCATTGAGCTGTATGTCAGCTCGCATCGGAGGCTCCTGCGTGGCTCACAGAGTGTGCACCTGGGAGCCCAGTGATCCGTGTGTCATGCAGACACATCAGATTACATTACCGCTGTGTCTGGGTGGTCACATGGTATTGTATCTTGTGATTGCTGTGTCAAATCACAGCAATCACATAGTAAACAATACCAAGTGAAAGTATTGAGAGCAGAAGCGATGCTGCAGCCTTTGAGTGTACACCAGCCTGTCAGGCCGCTTGTACACCAGCCTGCCAAACTGCTTGTCTACTCACAGACTGCAGTGCCAGCCAGTTCTTGTGTCCCTGATCACTGCCCCAGTGTAATCATATTATAAAATGCAGCCAACTCTGTCACCTGTTCCAGTGCTCACAAAAACACTGTCATACACCATACCAATATCCTGATCACCTCCATAGCAGCATCCGGATCACCGCTATACCCCATACCAGTGCCATGATCACTGCCATGCACCATACCAGCGCCCTGATCACCACCATACCCCATACCAGCATTCTGATCATTGCCATAGCCCATACCAGCGTTGTGATCACCCATATGCCATACAACCATCCTGATCACTGCCATACCCCATACCAGCACCCTGATCACTGCCATACCCCATACCAGCACCCTGATCACTTCCATACCCCATACCAGCACCCTGATCACTGCCATACCCCATACCAGCACCCTGATCACTTCCATACCCCATACCAGCACCCTGATCACTGCCATACCCCATACCAGCACCCTGATCACTTCCATACCCCATACCAGCACCCTGATCACTTCCATACCCCATACCAGCACCCTGATCACTGCCATACCCCATACCAGCACCCTGATCACTTCCATACCCCATACCAGCACCCTGATCACTTCCATACCCCTTACCAGCATCCTGATCACCGCCATAACCTATACCAGCATTCTGATCATTGCCATAACTCATACCAGCGTTGTTATCACCCCATAGGCCATACAACGGTCCTGATCACTGCCATACCCCATACCAGCACCCTGATCACTTCCATACCCCATACCCAGCCCTGATCACTGCCATACACCATACCAACACCCTGATCACTTCCATACCCCATACCAGCACCCTGATCACTGCCATACCCCATACCAGCACCCTGATCACTTCCATACCCCATACCAGCACCCTGATCACTTCCATACCCCTTACCAGCATCCCGATCACTGTCATAACCCATACCAGCATTCTGATCATTGCCATAGCCCATACCAGCGTTGTTATCAGCCCATAGGCCATACAACCGTCCTGATCACTGCCATACCCCATACCAGCACCCTGATCACTGCCATACACCATACCAGCACCCTGATCACTTCCATACCCCATACCAGCACCCTGATCACTGCCATACCCCATACCAGCACCCTGATCACTGCCATACCCCATACCAGCACCCTGATCACTTCCACACCCCATACCAGCACCCTGATCACTTCCATACCCCATACCAGCACCCTGATCACTGCCATACACCATACCAGCACCCTGATCACTTCCATACCCCATACCAGCACCCTGATCACTGCCATACCCCATACCAGCACCCTGATCACTTCCATACCCCATACCAGCACCCTGATCACTTCCATACCCCTTACCAGCATCCTGATCACTGTCATAACCCATACCAGCATTCTGATCATTGCCATAGCCCATACCAGCGTTGTTATCAGCCCATAGGCCATACAACCGTCCTGATCACTGCCATACCCCATACCAGCACCCTGATCACTGCCATACACCATACCAGCACCCTGATCACTTCCATACCCCATACCAGCACCCTGATCACTGCCATACCCCATACCAGCACCCTGATCACTTCCACACCCCATACCAGCACCCTGATCACTTCCATACCCCATACCAGCATCCTGATCACCGTCATAACCCATACCAGCATTCTGATCACTGCCATAGACCATATCAGTGCCCTGATCACCACCATACCCCATACCAGCATCCTGATCCCCACCATACCCCATACCAGCATTCTGATCACCCCATATGTCATATCATTGTCCAGTTCATGCTATACAATGTATCAATATTGTGATCACTGCCATACCCCATACCAGCATCCTGATCAACGATATACCCCATACCAGTGTCCTGATCACCACCATACCAGCATCCTGATCATCAGCATACCTCATGCCAATGTCCCGATTGCCACCATACCTCATACCAATGTCCTGATCACTGACATATGTCATACCAGCGTCTGGTATTTTAGGGTCTCAAATGATCATTTTTCAGATATTTATATCCCATAATTTGTAGACTCTATAGCTTTCACACAGACTAAATAATATACACTGTTTTGAATTATTTTTACGCAAAAATGTAGCATGTGGCCAAAATTTATGAAGAAGATTATATATTTGCAAATTGTTATAACAAAAACTAAGCAAAAAATTATTCTTTTTCAAAATCTTTGATATTTTCCTATTTATATAGCAAAAAATAAAAAAACAGTGGTGATCAAATACCACCAAAAGAAAGCTCTTTTTGTATGAAAAAAATAAGAATTTAATTTGGGTACAGTGTTGCATGACCACACAATTGTCATTCAAGGTGCAACAGTGCTGAAAGCTGAAAACTGGCCTGGGAGTGAAAGTGTTCAGACTTGAAGTGGTTACAACAAAATAGGAAGTAAACTTCACCAGGGGAATTTTTTTCAAATTTTTTATTTTCTCATACATCAGAGTCAGTTACAATATATGGCAGAAAGTTGTATTGTGTTGTACAAGTCTTTACAACATTGTATAAATTCATAAAATCCACACATCATATCAACAGTTTATATACAGCATATCCACATTAAGACAATTAGTACTTACTTGTCAGCTATGGTATTGTTTGAAAAACGGACCATTCAGCAATGAAAAAAAATATATTATAGGAATACATATCTAATCAATACTGTTTAAGATGGTTGAAGTAAAAGAGTAAGAAATCTCCAAAGGGATTTTTTTATTGTAGGGTATGAGGTCAGGAATGAAAGAGGAGGTTGTAAGAGGATGTGGGAAGGGTAAGAGGGAAAAAGATAAGATTGTGCTTCAGATGTAAATAGGAAGCATTCAGGATCAAAAAATAGGAAAGGGAAAGTGGGGAAGAGGCTGGGGAAAAGGGGACAGGTGAACAATGGGACAATGGGAAGAGCAAGGCTAAGGACAAAACATCCACTGAGTTCCCCAATACAGGGACCACAGTAATATTTAAGTACAGCTGAACAATAGGGTCTTACCATCATCCAAGAAGGAGAAGGTATTCCAGTAGAACAACCTTCAAAGGTGGATTTCACCCTTATGATGAGAGAAGAGGATCAGTTCTTTCACCTGTTGGATTTCCTCCGTCTTATTGAGCAACAGGATTTTCATATTTAGAGAGACACTGCTTTTTGACTGCATTTAGTTTTAGTAAATAGTGGAGAACTGACCTATAGTAAGATTTGAGAGTATATATATATATATATATATATATATATGGGAACTATGTAGGAATAACAAGACAGGATCAACTGGAATTATGCAATCCTTTAACGTTTGAGCTATAGCCATGACTCCAATTCCAGAAGGTTTCAGGACCAAACTGCAGTTTGTAGTATAGGGTACCTTTCTTTGATCTGCAATGCCAACAAGTATCAGGGACATTATGGTAGAGGGTATGCAGGCGTGATGGGGTCCTGTGCAACCTGTTATGAATTTTCAAGTTGGTCTCTTGTAAGTTAAATAATAATTAATCAATTATAATTCAGTTCATTATTATTTATTAATTGAAGATTTCAAAGAGAAATATAAAACCCATTGGCACTATTCCTGTGTGAAGCATACACCTTGGTTGCATTCCCAAAGAGACCAAAATATTGCTTTGTTTCTGTGAAGGTGTGATCAATTGGGGCATAGCATTTTTTTATTTGGGGGGGGGGATTTATCCGAACTAGAGCTGACACAACCTGGAGCAGCTGTGCATGGTAACAATAACTTACCTTTAATCCTTAAAAATGGCCAGAATTCAATTAAAAGGTTTGCCCACCTTAGACTTCAATGAGGTTTCAAGCAAAGTTTGTGAACTGGAAGCTAGATTCATTAAACTTTTTTCAAATCAAACCCTGACAAATTAACTCCTCCTTAGTTAGGATCCCTTTGCAGTCATATACTGTAGATGAAAAAGCTTGATTGATATCATTTTTATACTGTGCACAATGGTTTTTGTCCTGAATAATAAAGCCAAGGTTTTTTTTTGTTTTTTTGGGGGTTTTTTTAACATGTATTGTGTGCATTCTAACATAATCGCGTAAGCTAAAAATAAAACAATAAAGATATTTCTTGTTTTGGAGTACATCTATTACAGAGTAATATGCTCTGGGCAACAATTACCAATTACAAGCTGTACAATTCCAATCAACATTAAACTCTATCAAAATGTGTGATTTTCTCTCTCAGCTTTTCATAGAGCTGATACATAAATTCTAACATGTGGTGTTATGGCTGGGAAGTAAGCAAGCATATTCTAACATGGGTTGGAGATAAGCTATAATATACATTTTTAGAGGTACATTCTATACATATAATACAAATATATTGTAGATGTTATATATGAAATATTACTGGATGATGTCACACGCTAATAAAGGAATTGTTTGTTTGCTTAACTAGGAGTGTCTCTAACTGGGTTGGCATTGCTAACAAATGACACAACATGCTTCCTTCCATTTATAACCACTATCTATATCAGCCACAAGGAGGTGGCACAAAATCAGCGATTGCCATTGTTTGTTCTTCTTTGCTATAATAGGTACCTTTTTGTTTTCTTGCAAAAGTTATTCCACCCCTAAGAGCAGCAATATGGTTTTGCAGTGTTTTTTTCAGGCACTAAATAGCTGGCCTGGGAGTACAAAACCATTGGCTTAATGCTATTATACACAGATCTATGCTGATGAACACAAGAGGATGTTCCAAGAGTTGGTTCAATAACTGTGCAAATGCTTATTTGCAGGATTGACAGGTACTGAAACACCTCAGAAACCCTGCTGTCAATGACGATTGCGATGTCTGTTCCTGCTCAAACCATTCTACAGGTGACAAGGTCGTCTTAGGGCAAAGTGACTAAAGCTAGACATGGACTTCATTGGGCTGATTTACTAAAGAAGTTACAAAATCTGCACACTATAAATTGTGTGTATCTATATGCCTTAATTTAATGATAAAATAAGTAAACCAGAACTTGCTTATTATGGGCAGCACAGTGGTTAAATGGTTACCACTTCCACCTGGCAGTACTCGGGTTGTTGGTTCAAATCCCAGCCATGGCACCACCTGCCTGCAGTTTGCATGTTCTCCCTGTGCCTGTATGGGTTAACTCCAGGTACTCCAGTTTCCTCCCACACTCCAAAGACATGCTGGTAGGTGAACTGGATCCTGTCTAAATTGTCCCCTAGTATGTGTATGTATGATTGTAAGTTAGGGACCTTAGATTGTACGCCCCTTGAGGGTTAGGGACTGATGTGAATGTACAATATATATGTAAAGCACTGCGTAAATTGATGGCGCTATATAAGTACCTGTAATAAATAAATGTGATTGGGTGATTGAAGTGAATATTCACACAATGTTCTCCTGTCACTGACTGCTAACACTTATTCATTCTTGTCTCCCGCTGACAAGCAGGCAGGACTATGTTACATGCTCCTGACCTTTGCACTTCATCTTGTTCTGTGTGCCCCACTCCTGATCTCTCCATTCTATAAGCAATGTTGTACATTACATATTCCTGACTGCTGTATTGCTGTTATATACCGTATTTTTTTCGCTCCATAAGACGCACCTAGGTTTTAGAGGCAGAGAACAAGAAAAAAAAATTCTGAACTAATGGACTGCAGACACAGTACAGGAGATGACCAGAGACTGCGGACACAGTACAGGAGATGACCAGAGACTGCAGACATAGTACAGGAGATGACCAGAGACTGCGGACATAGTACAGGAGATGACTAGAGACTGCAGACACAGTACAGGAGAAGGACCAGAGACTGCGGACACAGTACAGGAGATGACCAGAGACTGCGGACACAGTACAGGAGATGACCAGAGACTGCGGACACAGTACAGGGATGACCAGAGACTGCGGACAGCACAGAGATGACCAGACACTGCAGACAGCACAGGGATGACCAGAGACTGCGGACAGCACAGGGATGACCAGAGACTGCGGACACAGTACAGGAGATGACCAGAGACTGCGGACACAGTACAGGGATGACCAGAGACTGCGGACAGTACAGGAGATGGCCAGAGACTGCGGACAGCACAGGAGATGACCAGAGACTGCGGACAGCACAGGGATGACCAGAGACTGCGGACAGCACAGGGATGACCAGAGACTGTGGATAGTACAGGGGATGATTTCTGACCTTTGGGGAGGGGGGGGAGCGGGTACCTGAATTTTACAGATACCCGCTCCCACTTCCGCGGAGTTGTTCTTTCATCTTACCTGTTCCTCGATCCAGCCGCGCGCTGTCTTCCCGGCTTCTGTAATGGCGCTCAGCATGACAGCCGGGTGCCCAGTGCGCATGAGCGAGAAGCAGTTGCGCTTTGTGATTGGTCCGGCGGCGGCTTCTGGGATCTGTCATGTGTCCCAGGTGCCGCCTTACCATTCACAAAAAGCACCGCTTCTTGCGCATGCTAACTTGGCATCCGGCTGTCATGCCCACACTACAGAAGCCGGGAAGACCGCGCCGCTGGATAGAGGAACGGGTAAGATGAAAGAACAACTCCACGGAAGTGGGAGCGGGTACCTGTCAAATTCAGGTACCCGCTCCCCCTCCCTCCCCAAAGGTCAGCAGTCATCTCTATAAGGTCCCGCTGTAGAGCTGAGCGGCCGGCCCGGTATTCTGACACGGCGGCAGTGGAAATACCAGACAGGCCGCTCCATATTCGCTCCATAAGACGCACTGACATTTTCCCCCCTTTTTTGGGGGGAAAAAAGTGCGTCTTATGGAGCGAAAAATACGGTAATCCTGGCCATTGCACTCTGTAAGCTGTGCTGTACATTTCATACTCCTGACCACTGTTTATTGTCTTAGTAGTTGCTGATTGCTATGTAGTCACCAATGAAGGTCTTGCTCAACCAAGCCACAGCAATACCGGGCACTTTTACCCCCTTCCTGCCCAGCCAATTTTTCAGCTTTCAGCGCTGTCGCACTTTGAATGACAATTGCGTGGTCATGCAACACTGTACCTATATGAAATTTTTATACTTTTTTCACACAAA